CACCAGAAGCCGGAGCTCCCCCTTATTGGAAACTACCTGGACCATCGTATGCACTTGAACTTTTCCTAAAAGTGCTGAGAAGCAGGTGACGAACCTGCAGCCGTGATCCCGTCTGACTGAGAACATCTAAAGACGGTTTCATCAAGCTTTGGTCCGGTAAACATGGTCTTGGGGCTGCGGGTCAGGCAGTGTGTGCATCACATAAACTCTGTCTTTTGGGAGGATTTTGTGTTCGGCCTCGTGATGTGGACTTTCTGTGCAGGAAGACAGAGCCTCGTCAGGGTTTGACATATTGCTGCACTTTTCTTGGCCTGGGAAGCGCTTCCAGGGGTTTAGGGGTGCCCCTTCCCCTTGTTGAAACGTATAACTTTCGAACCTGTGAACATTAGGGTAGCAAGCGAGGACCTGTTTTGCAGGGTGTTAGGGTTGTTGATGGAAAGAACTAAGTGTCTGTGATTCTGGTGTGTTCCAGCCACTGATTTCTCTTTATTTCTGCTCTTTCTTGTGCTGGCACATACTGTTGCTGATAGAGCAAGAACCTCAATAATTATACTACCAATGATCCTAGAGTTTCTCTAAGGTCATTGAAACTTACAAAATGCTAGTTTTCACTCCCTTTGCTTTACTAAATGCACCATACTTTGTATAAGAAAAAAAGCTACTGGACAGTGGCAGCATTCCACCTGCAGATGAACCACATTGAGTAGGACTTTTGAAATTAGTGTAAATTTACAATTTCGGAGCTTCTGAGAGGAATGCCGTCATCCCAGGCATCTGTGACTGCTTTATTACAAATCCGGACACACTGAGTGAGGCCTCTCCGGGTTCTCCATCCGGGCACTTGGAGAGCTGCTCGGCGGCTCCCAGTGTTGCTCAGTGGCACTCTAATCCTATCCGAACATCTAGAAGTGCATCCAGCTGAGGTATTGAAACACTTGCCCAGACGGGAAGCATATTATTTTGGGAAATTATTATCATGTTAAATCCTAGAAAAGGAAGAATTCACCTTTCCCTTGTCAGACTCAAAAAGGGAAGGTCAAGCTCGTGTGCTTGACATTGGCCCTGACGGGTTGCCTTTGTCACAAGGCTTGTTCCAGCAGAGCAGATGGTCCTGCTGCTGGAATTTTCCCCACTCATTTGATGTTTCCATGAAGCAACCCTTTGCCAGCAGCCAGTCGCAGTTACAGCTGCGGTGGAGATGATGCTAAACCCTGATTAGCACCAGCCGCTGCTGGCTGAAGCTGGCCTATGTTGGTCCTGCCCTTTCTGCTGCATTTCCCAGGGTGGTAGTCTGAGGGTCCAGGTTAACTGCACCTCCAGTGAGAACAGTGTAGAACCCACGTCCACGCGTACCTCTGTCACTTTTTCCTTCACACTGGTAAAGGTTTGCCTTTCAGTAGCTGAATTATGCAATGTAATCTTCTTGCATATCTTTCCATTTAGGTTTTAACTGTATAATGTCAGAAAAAAATGTTGACTTAAATTACATCCAAATAAGAATCTCATGGCCCGTAATTGGATAAAACCATCATCTAGAGGAATGTGCTTTTTTAATAAGTTCCAGCAACAGTTCTGAGACTGTTGGGTTCCTATCAACACAGCACTGCAATGACACAGACGATACCTAGGCAAGATAATAATTACTGAGTACCCGACTACAGGCAGAACATTACTCTCAGCACTGAGTGTTTATTCGCTCAATCCTCCTCACACCTGTGCTATGCAAGAATCCTGATTGCCCTCATTTTACAGTCATGAACTTCTAGAGTTCACATCTAGTTTGATCATGGACCCTGGACCTTTGTCTGGTTGTGCTTGTGTACTATTCAGACTCATTTGTAGTGACTGTGGTAGTTAGCAATCTGTACTTCTTAAGTTGTCAAATTTATAAAAATATGGAAGGTAAGAGAGTATAGCAGTCCTGTAATCTAGAAAGAATAGTTGATTTATATTGAAACAAAAGGTGAGTTGTTTAACCTAAAGAATTGGAAGACAGCTAGCTGCATAGGACATTGTAGGGATAACTGACAAAATTTGACAATGGATCATGAACTAAAGGGATAGTATTTTAGCAATGTTACCTCATTTTTGATCATTGCATGTGGGTGAAATAAGGAAATAATCCTGTTTTTAGGCTCTGAAATGATTTGAGAGTAAAAGGGTCTTTCATTCTCACTGTCCCACTTTTGAGTTCAGAAAAACACATGTGTAAAAGTAGAAAATGATAAAGCAAATGGGAAAGTAGAAGCAGTTGGAGCTCTGGGTGAAGAATCTAGGCAAACATTGCTTGTACCATTCTTATGACTTCTACTTGAAGTTAGAGCAAAAGAAAAAAGCACCCCAAAATTGAAGGTAAAAAAAAAAAACCAGGAAATAAAGGTGTAACATTCTAAGAATTTTGAAATCAGGTAGAGGTTGTTTCCTGGTGAGCTGGTTCTTTCTTTCTTTTTTTTTCCCCCAAGAGGTTGGCGGAAAGAACTTGAGACAAACCAAAAAATCTTGTCAAAATTGATTGACTTGTCTCAGACTTCAAAAACTCGCCATTCAGAGCACTGCAATTGCTGTGTCTATTCTAAAAACATCTGTGCCTTAGAAAAGATACAAAGACAGCCCACTTTTAGTGATACTGAAAGTTAAATTGGGTTGGATGTATTATTTCCCTAACTGAAGCCCTTCAGTGGCGCCCTGCCTCGGACTAGTTTGTCCTTTTACTTGCATAGCAACCTGGGGACCCGTGCCTACCTTTCTGACTTGATGTCACGCCTCCTTCCACAAATACTGTACGGCTGGCTCTGACAGGTTTCCTGTCCTTGGCACGCACTCATCTTTTTGCATGTACTCTTGGCTTTGCCAGGCTTTTGCCCCCTTCTTTTCTGCTCATTGCTGAAGTCTAATGCCCTTGGGGAACCTGTCTGTGATCCTATGCAATGTTATGCTCTCCTGGGTCCATGCTAGCATGTCAGTGGGATAATCATGATCCAGCCAGCTCCTGCTCAGCAGTCCTTATTCAGCTGTGGCCTGGAACATTCCAGGGCCTGGAGATTCGAAGACACTCAGAGTCTGGTAGCTAGGAGTGCTCTATAAACAAATAAGACCTAAGTATAAAACAGAGAGGAGCAAAGTGCTATGAGAGCTGCCAGCTCCACCTGACGGCTTAATCTTCAAGGAGTGGTGAGCCTGGTAGCCACCATGTGATACCATTCCCTGCTTCCCCTCCGAAGGGCCCCTCTTACAGGTGGACACCAAGGTATAGCTCACCGGTTTCCAGCAAACAGGAGTAATCAAGGGCAGATTAGCATTTCCTGGGGTCCTGGTGCTTTTCCCAAATTGCCCATCCTCGTGGTTGCCCTAGATTCTGCTCCTGCTTTGGCGACTTGAGAAGACTTGAGAATCATTACATGAAACAAGAGACCGTATCAACACACCCATGTGCATGTGAACCACAGGGAAACAGGAAGCTGCTGGTGTTGGGGTAGTTAAATGTTCCACTGGGGATAAAACCACCCAGGAAGAGTAAGATGAGGGCGAGCAGATGGGGCTGAAACCTCAGAGACCCCATTGTTCTGGGTGGAGAAAAAGGATCCAGTGAAAAAGAGCTGGTGTGCTGGTGTTGAACAAGAGGAGCCAGGAAGGCCGACGCTCAGAGTGGTCTCAGGGTGAGCTGCGGAGAAAGGCTGAGACTTGAGATTTGGTTCCTGCCAGGCTCTGTTGCTGTCCATATTGAGAGCAGTAGCGACTGCAAAGTGGTAGTGGATGCCCAACGGCGCTGGCTTTAGAGGAAGTGAACACAACAGTGTGTGTAGATTCTTTTGCCAGAAAGTTGGAAGACGAGGCAAAGGAGGGACAGTGAGGAAGATAAAACAAAAATGGTGAGCATCTTGGACATTTTCACCTGCTGAGGAAGAGAAGCAGGTGGAGGAGAAATGGAAAGCATGGTAGACGGCATCCTTCAAGGGAATGGGGGCTAGCGTTGTTAAGGGGAGACCCCCTGGCTCTAGCAGGAGCCCCTTGGGTAGGAACGCATGTCCCCTGAGCCACGCCATCACCATGCACAAAGTGTTCATAAACCATGAGTAATGATTTTCCTTTTTAGAAAATTGGTCTTGGTACAGTAGGAGAATGTAATTACCAGTCTCTATGATGAGCAAGGTGTTTGTGGCCTTGCAATCTCTGCAGTGAAAGAAGTCACAGAACCTGTGATACTGAGGTGGTGATGGTCACAGTCATTTAATCCTCTGGGCTTGGTAGGTTTTTCATAAATCCCATGTTGGCCTTTTGCAGTGCCCAAGCCATCTTGCTGGGTCAGTCATTGCAGACAGATGTGCATGACAGTAGACTGTATTAGGCGAATTGCATTTTATTAGTCAACAGGGACAGTGGCACACCCAAGCCTTTGTCTTTAAATTAGTGATTTTTTTTTCCAAAAACATTTTTAATTGCTTCCCATATTAAATTTTGTTTGCTGTAAATACTTCTAGTATTGGGACCCCACTGCAGCACAGTGGGCTAAGCTGCTTCCTGTGATGCTGGCATTCCAAAGAGCACCTGTTCCTGTCACAGCTGCTCCACTTCCCATCAAGATAGTGCACCTAGGAAGACAGCAGAAGAGGGCCCAGGTGCCTGAGGACCCGTGCCCCCAGGGAAGACCTACCTTGGGCTCCAGGGGCTCCTGACCTCTCTGCCTGGCCCAGCCCTGGACATTGTGGCCATCCAGGGAATGAACCAGCAGATGAAAATTCATCTGTTTCTCTGCCTCTGTAACTCTGCCTTTTAAATAAATAAATCTTTAGAAATTTTCTACTATGAACAAAGACTAACTTAACAGACTTTGTTTTTTTGTAACTCAAGTCTTATAGAGTATATTCAAAAAGAACAAATTGATGCAAACAGTAAAGTGAGCTTACCACCGAGCTTGTTTCAGGGTGCAGATGGTGAGTGAGTCAGCGTGGGTTCAGTTTTGCTGTGGCAGCCTCAGTGTTGTGGGTCTAAAACCCAAAACAAATGTGTGAAGGCTGTTCTGCTGCACGCCTCTCTTCCTACTGCTTGACAACTAGCAGACATGTTGACACAATTTCATTTTATATTCTCCTTTCCCCCTGTTTCTCTAGAAAACTGTTTTTTTTTTTTTCCCTTAATGTATCACTGCCATGTAAAACAAGCTAAGCCAATGAAGTGTGTGAATTCATTTATCAGAACTGTCATGGGGTGGTTTGAATGCTGGTTTATCTCTACTGGATAAAATCACTTCATTGATGAATTTCCATCTTGAGAAACTGACACATTTGAATATTGTTTGGCTTGTAAAGTTGTATCTGTGTGTGTTTGTAGGTTTCCGTAGGAGTTGAAAATCAGGAAAGAACCGCTGTTGGGGATGATGCTGAGGGATACTGTGAAGTCCTGGAATGACAGCCAATCAGATCTCTGCAGCAGTGACCAGGAAGAGGAAGAGGAGATGATTTTTGGTGAGAATGAAGATGATTTGGAGGAGATGATGGATTTAAGTGACCTGCCTACCTCACTTTTTGCCTGCAGTGTCCACGAAGCAGTGTTTGAGGTCCAAGAACAGAAGGTAGGCACACCTCTGCCTCTCCCTTGTAGCACAGGGATTGTCGACTGTATGTGGGGACACAGCTGTCCTGTGTCAGGGTAAATTAAGTGGTGTCAACCTCGAGGAATTTTAATTGTGTTTTAAAAGGATCTGAGTCTGCAACAGGAAATAATTTAAAGGCATACCTCTGCACATGTTTTATAAAGTGTTTTTATTCTGAGTCAAGTCTTACTAAACTCATTTATTTATTCTTTCATTCATTTTTTGGGAGTCTGTAGTTCAAGGAAGATCACAGAAAAAAAAAAGGGCTTGGCTTGTTCCTAGAGCTGACTGCCCTACAGCCTGTCAGCACTGTGCGTTGTCCCAGGATGGCTGTCATGGCCTTGTCCCGGGGGGTGGAGGCTGTAATGGCCTTGTCCCAGGATACCTCTGGTGGCCTTGTCCCAGGGGGGCTGTAATGGCCTTGTCCCAGGATGGCTGTGATGGCCTTGTCCCGAGACTGCTATGATGGATTTGTCCCAGCATGGCTCTGGTGGCCTTGTCCCAGGGGGGCTGTGATGGCTTTGTCCCAGGATGGCTGTGATGGCTTTGTCCCAGGATAGCTCTGATGGCATTGTCCCAGGGGGGCTGCAATAGCCTTGTCCCAAGATGGCTGTGATGGCCTTGTCCCATGATGGCCCTGGTGGCCTTGTCCCAGATGGCTGGGCAATTCTCTTTGTATCGCTTCCCTACAGCTTCACTGAGGAAAAGGGATTTGTTTTCTGAAAGGTGACTCCCTTAAAGTCCATTATTTATCTGGGAATGGAGCATAGAGATAGGTGCACATAGGCATGTGTGTGTCTGGGTTGCGAGTTTTCCATCAGGGTGTCGCAGAAGCCTGTTGGTCTGAGTCCTGCAATAGTAGTGTTTTAGCCAGTAGACAGGCTTTTCTGGTTCTGAGACTTTCAAAACAGTGTCTCTGCCACTTTCACTTTGTGTCTGTTTTCAGAAGCATTTCCTTCAGTGACTTTCTTGGAGTAGAACATGATGCAGAGAAGGACTTGGTACAGTCATTCCTAGGGTCTGTGGGGAACCGGCTCCAGGGCCCCCTCAGGCACCATGATCCATGGGTGCTCAAGTCTCTTACCTCCAGTGGTGTAGTATTTGCACATAGACCACACATATCTTCCCGTGTGTGTTAAATAACTTCTGGGTCACTTATAATACCTAATACATGTAAGTGCTGTGTCAGTGGTTGCCTGACATAATGGCGAGATAAAGTCCGTACATGTTCAGTACACACACAGGTTTTCCCCCAGTATTTTGGACTGGCAGTTGATTGAATCTGTGAGTGCAGGACTGGTGATTGTGGAAGCTGGGCATGCACAGCAGGCAGAACTCAGAGGTGGCCTCAAGGGACAGAGCCACTGCCTGGAGGGGCTCATAGGCCTGAGGTGTCATTATGCTCTCAGTGAATCTAGAAGCATTTGGAAAAGGACTGAGGCCTCCAAGACTGGATCACAGCCAAGTGCAGCAAGACCTCATGGGGAGATGGCACAAGAGAAGAGCTCGGTGCACAGAGTAGGATTATATCAGGGAAGGCAGAGGAATTTCAGCTGGACTTTGGAGAGTGTGGGCTGTTTTGGGAAGCAGAGGGCCATTGTATGACAGAGAACTCAGGTTGGGAACTGAGTGTGGGGTCTTCCTGCGTAAGACCACCCCAGTGAGGCCAGGAGCTTTCTCTTCTGCTGTTGGTGCTCCCAGAGGCAGGCATGGATGCAGCTGACAAGCACAGGTGCACCGATGGGAGGACTGGGAGTGACCCTGCTCCAGTGTGGAACCTGACTGCAGGGAAAGAGAGTTCCCAGGCCCTAGTTTGGTTTTCTTCACAATGATTTTCATTTACAGATTTCTATTTTCCTTTCTAAAATCAGTCATAATTTAGAAATCCTAAATCATCTTTCTTACTTTTCTTAGCCTTTATAACAGTTCTAAATATTCATATTATCAGTACTTAGTTAATGTTAATTTTTTTTATTACTGGTGTCTTATTTTGTTTCAGTTTCTCCCAGAGTCCCATGTTTAGCAGTCATGCACCAATGTGCCAAAACGTGGAATAAGATTTCCCAAAACCATAGGCAGAATAACCCTAACTGCAATGACGCACTTTATTTTCAAAAGAATATTTTTTTTCCTCACTTGCTAAGATTACTGAAACAAGGTTTTATCTAGTTGTGAGTGAGGAACACAGGTACTGTTGTTGTGTAAAGAAAAATCTTCACTTTAGATTGCGGGGTTCTGGCTCTGCATTGCCATCAGTGTTTCTTACTGTGCCTCAGAGAGGATAGTAAGCCACAGAAGAGTGAACCAAGGAGAAGGTTTGCTTTTCTGCTTCCTTGGTACAGGGCTGGTCCCTGCCTGGAGGACCACAGGGTCCAGTGGCCCTTCCCAGGACTGTTGCATTGGGTTGCTTGTGGCCTCTAGCCCTCGTTTTTCTTCGGGATAAATTAGGCTTACTGTTGACTGAGACTTTATCATGTGAGAAGTAGGACTGTTACTCTAGTTCTGTAAGGTTGAGGAGACTCAGGGAGTATTAATGCCAAATGATACTCCGCCCCGGTCTGGCTTGGTAAAGACCTGCAGTGTGGCATTTCACAGTGAAGTCCTGTACAGCTGCTCCCACTGGCTCACCTTGGAACCTTTGATTTGAGTTGGCTTCCTGATGGTGATGGTCAGATATGTTAAAGCACCTCCTCTCACTCTCCCAGGCCTGTTCTAGACATTCAGCATCTCACCGAGTTCCTGGTGCAAAGTGAACACCTGTGGGATGTTAGTGAACAGACTAGTTTAGGATGGTTGTTTGCTAGTTGTTCGAGATGAGTGGCATACTGCTGCGATCAGGAAACTGCAGTGTAAACAGAGTGAGGCTGATTAGTACATGGGAAACTCTGAAATTAGGATCCCCAACTCTTTTATTGTCTGCACAATTGTACATACTATTCATATCTTTGTATTGAAATTGGGTTTTACTCCCTGCATTTAAAGAAATAGAAAATATCATGTGAAAAGAGCAAATGACATTCAGGGATTTAGTGAATGAGTGGCTTCTGTACTATAATCAGCTGCTGGGTGTGTTAATCCGGCCTCCAGCTTGGAAGAAGTAAATTCCTTTGAGGATAGGGACTTATTTTCCATGTGGAAATTGGAGAGAGGTTCGAAGGAAGAATGTGTCTGTGATATGCGCTGTGTTTTAGCAGAGCCTGAGACATCATGAGGCTTTCATGAATATTTCACTGAATTTCTGGTACTATTTTGGTCAAGAGTTAATGTGATTCAGTTAGCTTCAAGGTTAAATAAATCTTGCAGAGTCCTGTAGGTTTAGAACTGAAATCCTACTCTCTCTAGACAGTAGGATTAGAGTCACGGAGAATACAGCTTGCTTTAGAACTCATTTTTCACTTGTACACTGAAAGTTACAAAGCATTACTGAAAGAAATTTAAGAAGGGGTAGGCATTTGGCCCAGTAATCACTGTGCAAATGAGGACACCTAGACCACACAGCAGAGTGTCTGGCTAGCTTCCTGGCTCTGGCTCCTGCTAATTAGCTTCCTGCTCATGCAGACTCTGAGAGTCAGCCATGTGGGAGCCAGGGGTGATGGCTTAAATGGGAGACCCAAGTTAAATACCTGGCTTGGACCTTTCTTCCTCTCCACCATGCCAGGTCAGTTTATGCCTTTGGAGCAGGAACCAACAGAAAGGAGCTCTCTATACATATTACTGTGTCTGTCTTACTAATGAATTCATTAAAACACAAATACACAGAAAGATATCCCATGTCCATGAACAGGAAACTTATCATCCGGATGTCAGTACCACTCAGAGTGACCAACAGATTCAGCTCAATTCTTGTTAAGATCCCAATGAAGTGTTTTCAAAAGTAGAAAACTGTCCTGAATTTCATACAGAGTTTCAGGGGACCCCAACTAGACAAAACAGTCTTGAAGATGCCTGAAGGACACACACTTTCTGATTTCAAAACTTAGTACAAACCAGTTACTTAGAATGGAAGAACCCAGAAATGAACCTTTGTGTATAAAACAAGTACCTCAGAACTCACTCCAAGTCTCCCATGTGGGTGGCAGCAGCCCAAGCACTTGAATTATGATTGTGCCAGATGAGTTCCAGTCATGCCAGGACTATTTGGTGGGTAAAACGGTTGTCTTTTCAACCAGCAGTGGGAGCAAAGCTGAGTATATGTACAAGAAAATGAAATTGGGCCTTTACCTTATATCAAATAAAAAATCAACTCAACTTGAATAACAGACCTAAACACTAGAAATGACACTATAAAACTCACATAAAATGAAAAGGAAACTCTTCATGATTATGAATTTGACAGTAATTTCTTAGGTACAATACTAAACACACAGGTAACATGAAAAAAAAGTTAGATGAATTAGACTTCTTCAAAATTAAAAATAGGGGCACTTGTTTAGCCTTTGCTTGAAGTGCCAAGCTGCCCATATCCCATATCTGAGAATGTGAACTTCATCTCAGCTTCAGTGTCTGACTGCAGCTTCTTACTAATACAGACGTGGAAAGACACCACCTACTGCAGAGAGTGAACCAGTATGTAATAGATCTCTTTCTTTGTCTCTGCCTCTAAAAGAAATACAATTTTTTAAAACATATTAACGTTTAAAATATACATTATGAGACACCATCAACAATGAAAAACCAACTCTCAGTAAAGGGGAAAATATTTGTGAATCACTTATCTAATTAAGAGAGAAATGTCTAGAATAGGGGCTGGCATTGTGGTGTTGCAGGTTCAGCCACCGCTTAAGATGGCTGCATCCCATATCAGAGTGCAGGTTCTAGTCCTGGCTGCGCCACTTCTGATCCAGCTCTTTGCTAATGTGTCTGGGAAGACAGTGGAGGAAGGCCTAAGTCTTGGGTGTTGCTGCCCATCTGGGAATCCAGGGTGGAGTTCCTGGCTTCAGCTTGGATCAGCACCAGTCATTCTGGCCATTTGGGGAGTA